TTTAAAGGAAACTCACAGATTGATCAGCTTTTTAAAATATTCAATATTTTAGGTACCTATAACTATTTGATTGGCATTGTTTTAAATTGACGAAAACTTATTTCCAATCAAATAACAATGTGAATCTAGCAAAAAGATAGAACAACTAATAAGTAGATGAAGTTTTGATAATAAGCTGATGTGATTTTGCTGAAGTTAAATTTTAAAAAATCATTAAAAAGATGTCTAAAGCTTTTTTTGTACCTAATGGAAATGAGATGTCCTATCACAAAATAACTTTCTAAAAAAACGTCAGGTACTCCAGATGAAAATACATGGAGAGGAGTAACACAAATGCCAGAATACAATTTCAATTTCCCAAAATGGAAGCCATTAAATCTTAGACAATTTTTCAATATTGGTACAGAAGCACTAAACTTCCTGAATGTAATTTTATTAACATTTTAACTTAATTAAAATTAACATCCCTTATTTCTATTTTAGGGCTTGTTGCGTTATGATCTTTCTCAAAGATTGACTGCTAAGCAAGCAATTTGCCATGAATTTCTCAAAAATAGTTTTTTTTGTCAACTTCAAATTTGACTTTGAGTTTTTATTGAATTTATAGATGAAAAATAACAATATTTATTTCCTGTTTTATTTTCTTGGCCAAAAAATTGATAAACTGAATCAAATTAAAAGTGAAATTGATTTTATGAAATTAAAATTTAAACATAATAAATTTTATTGTCTTGCACAAATGATGATTTTCTCAAGATTTTTAATCTAATTGCGCTAGACTGGTATTTTTCATTATTTGTCTTGTTACTCACACAGCACGATGATATATAACAAGGTATGCAAAAGATACAACGAAACACAACTATCTTACTAGTAAAGGACCACGCCGTCATTATAAGTTGCATGTATACAACAATTAGGCAAATAACCATGAAGTTGTAGAAGCTGTCCAGCAAGTAGCCCGCCAAATATCTGTGGAAGTGCTTACCTTTCTCTAAGTTTTCTATGTAGTCCAAAGGATCTGGCGGTTTGATGAAAACGTGATTTTCGTTAATATTCGAATAAATGAAGGGTGTCTGGTTGGCAATCACATGCTTGTGGAAATATTTCAAAGGTTCAGTTGAGTAATTGACATGGATGCTTGCATTATCTTTTAGTGCGCTATTCTTTTGAGTAACATGTTTTTCTGTAATCATTAGGTAATAAAGAGGCAAAAGCAAAGTGATGAATAACATCAGCCAAGCCATCATTTGTCTTAAATACATGTTGACGATTAAGAATATTGTACGACGGGAATGTGTTTTATGTAATTTGTTTTTATTAAACTACCTACCGTTTATATATTTAACATGGGAGTTACGCAAAATGTGACTCAATTTATTGAAAGAAATAATAAAGAAGAGCAAAATCTCGCTCAAAGTACTCTAAGACGAGATTCTTATTTTACTTTTTCAAAAATCAAAGAAAAGTAAATTCGATATCAAAACTGTTAAAAATATTTTTTTCAAATTTTAGTTATTTTTTAGCCCGCCAAATGTATGTGGATGTGCTTAGGGATACCTTACTCTTATTTAGAATTCTAAATGTCGCTTATTACTCTATAGAACGCTATTTATTAAATCTTGAAATTTTATTTTATTACCATGTTAGTTTAACAAGCAAAACCTTTGAAACTTTGCTGCATGTTTTTCTCCGTCTGTTAGCAAACATTTATGGTCTTTTAATGTTGGATGAGTTTGCTTGCCAAAATGTTGATGGTTTTGGTTTAACAATCCTTTCTTTATTGTTTACGCTAAGAAATAACAATTTAACGGCTTACAAATATTAAGTAAGTTTACATTAAATTATTCTTATTATTGAACATTCATTAGTCGCTTTTTACAATCATTAGCGTTCACCTATACAAAGAACAAAATTAAATGAATAAAAATATTTTTAATGACTAAAACAAAAAATTTTCAATTAATTTTACTTTCTCTGTATATATAAGCATTATATAACGATATAAACATTATACACTGATATATAAACGTTAAGAAGATGATCGGTTGCGCGCAGACTTAAGGCCAAATTATTCCGCCCACAACTGCAAAATTTTAAAAGAATTTGCGAAGAACAAAGAGTCGATCAAGTTTGGTAGTAAATAATGAGTTTTTTGTCTTAAACTGGTTGTCCTGTTACGAAATATAGGTATCTATGTAATGTAACGAAACACTCCCTGGTCGTAGGATACAAATTTGCATCGTTTATTTTTAACAAAGAACTATTTATACTGAAAATTATAAAGATGATGAACATACGTGTCCATATTGTTGAAATTCTTGAGTTTGTTGATCTGATTGCTGTGCATCAACTAGCTACTTACCGCACTACTACTACGCGCAAGCCATGCTAATCGTAACTTCATAAGTATATTTAAAGCGTTGGTTCTTTTTAACTTTTTTGAGTAAAATTTTATACAAGGACTCTCATTTCTACCTACCCATGAAAGGAGTTTGTAGAGAAGACTGGCAACCAGCTGAATATCATCAACAAAGGCATAAAAACCTTTCGTGGTATGTAAAAGAAACAGAAAAAATTCATTTTTGCGGAACTTCAACAGATTCAACATGTAAATCACTCATAATACAGTGAAAACTATTTTGCCGTATTTCAAAACAATTTACATACTCTGTACTATACCATTTTATTATTTCCTTTTTCTAACGAAACTTCTGTTAAAAATTAGTTGATAGTTGTTTTACGATTTACAACATATTCATTTCTGTGAAAGATATATTTTAAAAACTTTAATTATTGCCAGCTTACAGTAAGGCGTAGCGGTAGCTGGGCAGATAAATGAGTTATTGTGATGCAAAAGCTCATTAATCGAGTTTTTTCATAAACAATTGACATTTCTAATTGTATGTATCATTTTGAGCCTTCCATTAAATTGCATATGGCTTCGTTCATCAGACTAGAACGTTACGGTGCATCCATGCTACAATTATTCGTTCGGGTTTTTAATGCATGAAATACAAATTTGAGTAGTTATGCATATTTCGCAAAATTTCATTTCGCATAATTTTTTTGACGTACTAGCACACAAGGTAAGAATGGGATGCCTGGCATTGCTTTTACTGCGCGCTGACTTGGAATACAGCCGTCCAAATGGGTAAGTTACGGAATGAGGAGGCTTACAAAGTGTGGGTTTTATAGATCAGGGTACATTATAGATTTGGGTTAATAGAATAGCAAAGTTTATAATATAGGATAATTAATATGGCATTGGGTTTGTAGGTACATGAGGTATTCAATAAAATTGTGGTTTGCATAATTGATTGGGTTTTTCTTGAATGATGCAGGTAGATTATAAAACGGATTAATCAATAGAATTGAGTATTTTTTAGTATGGAGGGTGGAGTAACTTTAAAATACTGGTAGAGTTTGATCCAAATTTTTTACTCCAAGAACGTTCAAAATAACTGGTTTTTTTAACAAATTTTCAAACACCTACAAATTATAAAACTGATATTGCTTGTCAGCATAAGCTTTTAATATGTTTTTTATAAGTTAAGTTTAATCAGTTATCCTTAACTGTTTAATAGCTTTTTAAGTTTTTGTACGAATGAAGACAATTCAGTTGCAGGTTGTGTTGCTGTAATGTGGCCTAAAAATTAAAGTGGAATTTATATTTATTAAGAAATCATACAATTCAACATTATTTTCATACGATAGATTTTCAATTACATTTAATTTATTAGGATGATGTACAAAATCATTTGGCAGACATTTTAATATTCTTAATAAAATTTGTTCATTCGGCGTAGACGGGCATCATTAGAGAAGGTAATAACTCTCTATGGTGTATTCCATTCCTTTTAGTTGGCGTTATTAGTATAATTAATGGTTTTTATAAATAATTGCACATACGACAATTTCAAGCTAAATTAAAGTTTTATAGTATAAATAGCATAGCATATAGTGTATTTGTATGTATATATATATTCGATTTATTTTTATTTATTTATGTATATACATAATTTTTCATTTAATTATATATATATATATATATATATATTTATTTATTTATTTATATGCAATTTTTGTTAAAAAATAAAATTATAGTCTGTTGGATATTCAACAACTAAACGATTATTTAAAATATGTGATCGTTATATGGATGATCCGAAAAGTAGTTCAATACTACCAGCCTCTGAATGTTTATCATCTGCCGAAATGGATTAATGTTTGTATAATTGCCATAACCAGGTGATGCATATGGAGATCGTAATATTAAAACAAGCAAAAAATACACATGAACGTATTAAAAAGTAATCAACATGAAGTGAAGTTTGAAACATTTTTTGAAAAAAAAAGGTAGATGATAGGAAATAATTTAATTGAATATTATTTATGAAACGTACAAATATATATATATATATATATATATAATATATATATATATATATATATATATATATAAAATATAGAAATACAATGCATATAAGCATGTATTACATATGTACCGTTGTGCAGTATAATGAGATTGAGATATAATAAGAGAGTCGTATTGTTGCACCAACAGTTATTTAGCGTGTTGACTGTAATGTAGTGTGACATGTAACTATTTTCTTTCAGGTTTCCGTAGTGTAGTTTTCGGAGGAGTTTATATTTTTTCTCTTTCGTTTCTTCTTTTGAATGAAGGATTAAAATGATTTTTTAATGTCAATGTTTGTAAATAAATATCTTTAAAAATTGAAATAAATTTGGAAATTTGAAACGGATAGCGAATATAAAAAATGGAAAAATGTAATGTTCCAGCGATATTTTGTTTCATCCACTTTTCTTTTGCTTCCGCATTTTATCCAGGAAGTGGGATGCACGAACTGACGGCATTCAAACGTTAGTTCTCCTTTCGTCTTCAGTTCAAAGTCGATGCATTTTAATTAAATAATTGCTCGTGTGACTTTTTTTGGATGATTTTATTAAATTAAATTTTTTCAATAAATTTATCTCTATTAGCATCTGATTACAATCTTATATTTTTCCAACAACTTCTATATAAAATGTGTTAACAACATCGCAAATTGTTTTAAATTTGAAAATTGTATCATGTCAAAGTTATTACACTAAAAGACATTATTATGACATTATTATTTGATGTTGAAAATAAATGCATTGTAAATTAATTGTGAAGCAATTTCGCCAACGTAACCAGCATTGAAAATATTATTTTATTGATTTTTAATGAAAGTTTAGCATGAAAAGAAAGCTGGAAAGGCATATGCAATGTCATAAGCAATGCAGTCCGCGTTTGTCCATTTTAAAAGCTTTTACTTCCACAATGGAACTCATTTGCAATCTGCGGGTGGAAAAGTTTCTTTTTTGCATGAGAACAATAATGTGCATTAGTTTGTTACGTGAACTGTATTTAAAATTTATTCTCCGCGCTTTTATAGTCTGTAAATATCATCACATGAATCTCTACTCTCGTAAAGGCTCACATTATTCATTGATATCTGACCTTTTTTTCTGGCATATTGAAAATTTTGTTATTTTTTAAGTTTTAAGATGAGAATTGAAAAGTTTTTTTTACAATAGCTGGTTTTGAATTATGAATCCGGTCGGCTCAAAGATTATGCATCGCCAGATCATTGTTTAGCAATGCACAGTTACAAAATTCACTAACAAAATATTTCAACGATGCATAATATGAAATTAAATAGCTCCAATAATGCATTATTTGGCTCTTTATTTATTTATTATTTTGAAAGATAACCACTTTTTCACGATGATCAATCATATCGCGGTAACAATATACAATTTTTACAAACGCTCTTCAAAGTTTTTGAAAGATGTGTCGAAAAAATAAATAAGTTTTTCAACGTACACATGAAAATGATTCATGGCATATTCCAGATAAGTTCTTAAAGCCTGCTATGAATGATGGTAATTAATCAACGTACACACTGTGCTGCAAAACAAAAGGCAAATAGTATAAATGAGGCTGTTTTGCTTTTTTTATTACATAAACTGAGGTATGTTTAGTTATTTATATTGTTCCTTCAGTGATGACTTGCCGAGTTATTCAACGATTCACGATCTAGCGGTAGATATATCACAAAACGTTTGCGTATTAATATAGCTGTATATGGCGTATATATGGGCGTTCCATTTTTGATTTAGTAAATTGCAAGCAATTTCTCAGCGGGTGCAAAAATTTCATTTGATAATGTTGATTGGCGATGTATCAGCAGATGGCATTCATCATTGTCAGGTCGGACTTTAATTTCATTGCAAAGCTTGATTTATTGGTCGACACTTTCATCAAATTTGTTTATAATTTAATTTCTACAAACAAGTGCGCTAAAAAGATAAAAAGCATTTTACTTTCTTTAATGAGTTGTTTAACGTTTGAAAATATTTGGTGTTTATGTAGCCAGCGCTGTTTATATTATTACTCATTTTTATTATAATATTAAAAAATTTTCGTCATAAATTATTTTAAACGTCTGTTATTGGTAATGCTATGGCGCACAAACAGCTCATTGTTGCGAAATGTTTATTTTAGTGTCACTATAATCCAACATTGCATTTCAATTTATACTTACTTGTTCGTTTATTTCAATGTTTGTTTGACTCAATGGTTGTGTTGTGTTAATGAGTTCTTTTTGACTTAGATTTTAAAACATAACAATAGTGCTTGAGTGCAACTCGTTTGCAACTTTTAAAGTTATGAATCAACAAACCAAAGTATTATTGTTATTTTATAATTTCATATAAAAATGCTTACCACAGTGAAAAACGTGGAAGGGCAACAGTTTAGAGGCAACAAAACCCAGCCTGACTTCTTCTACAACATTCTTTTCGACAACGATCAGATGCTTGTTGGGGCCAGGTGAGGTATCTTTAATGATCAACTTCTTTATTGGCGTTTCAGTTTATGCTCGTTCATTCGTTCGTTTGTTTGTTTGTTTGTTTGTCTTTTTGTGTGGTTTTATCATCCATCGTTGATTTCTTTTATATGTTGAATAGATATAAACTTTTTTAAATGAATTGAAAATAAAATTAAATTGACGTTTCATGAAATTTAAATTAAAGTTGTTGAATATTAATGAAATTATCAAGCTTGCAAAAATTATTTTTCATATTTCTACGTTATTATTATCAAATTTTTTAATAACAAAATTGAATTTTTTATTGAAAAAATAATTTTCAAAACATTTTTTTAAATTTTAACTTTCAGAAATCACATATTCTTCATTGACCTGCTCAAATTCAGCGAAATCAAGGTATGTCTTTTGACGTTGAATTTTTTTCGAGCATTCATTTAATTTTTTGTTTCATCTGAAAAAGAGTATTTACTCTTTTTAAATAAAAAAAACTTTTTATTTAAACAAACCACAAAATTAAAAAAGCAAAACTTTATAAATGATATACGTGGACGAAAATACTTTGTGTTAATTTTTTAACAAAAAAGTTAAAAGGTTGAACACAGGAATGACGCCCATACACCTAGTCAAAAAATGCAGATTATTTCATTCATATTCATAGGCGTATTCAAAATGACAAACAGAAAAGAACAAAAACATTTACTCCTTCGTCATTATTAACATTCAATCTACAAGCTGCTTATTGAATTACGTACGTATCGTGCAGCTCAACATGAATTATAATACCTTGTTGTCGTTTTATTGCAACGCACGTTAATTATGCAAAAATAACCCAGTATAAAATTTGAATGTAAACAGCTTTTTGAGATTACAAATTCCAAATGAATTCATTCATCTGTGTATCGTATATTATATATTAATTATAAATTAAAGTATGAATAAATAATTATGAACAAATTTGCTGTGCCTCGATGAGAAATTATTTTCACAGTTAAATTCTCACAACCCTTAAATTCCTATCAAGATTTCAATCTTTGTGCGGACTGAGCTGAATGAATAAATAAATGAATGAATGAATGAATGAACGAACGAATGAATGAATGAGCAAGTGAATGAGTGAAGGAATGCAAGGTGTAACAGAAGCTAATGTTGAATGAGTTTGTAAAACTATTTGAAGATATCAAGGTACTTGCTTGCTTGTAGAATGCTGTTCGTCGTTGGCTTTATTATATTTGCTTTCATTCATCCGTTGATTTGTTCATTCATTCATTTATTCATACTTAAGTAATTTTATTTATTCATCCGTTCATTTATTCATTGGTTTGTTCGTTTATCAATTAATAAATTAGTTAATCTATTATAATTAATGAATTAATTCATTAATTCAATCATTCATTCTTTCATTAGTTTTTTTATTTATATTTTATTTGTTACTCTACGTTTCATTCAACAAATTACAAAATCAAAAACTCGTTTTAATACTCGCTTCTGTTCCATCATTTATTCATTCAACCTTTAATTCACACTTGATAATTCACTGACTCGATAATTCACTTTGTTAATTACGTTTAGGTACATATTCTCTCCCTCTACCTTTCTCTCCCTCTACCTTTCTCTTTCTCTCTTTCTCTCATTTTTTCTTTATGTCTCGTTTGACTCTATTTTATTCTGCAGCAGGGGCGCATCTTTGGCGGGGAAGGGGCAAAATTTTGAAAATTTGACGCTGGGCCAAGAGACTAACCATATTTGTGGTAGTGCAGCTGTAAACTAAGCTGGCGGTCTGTTTTTTGCTATCACGACAATTTTTTGTCGATTTCCTACATACAATACATATTTTACAGACTTTCAATAATGGTAGCGCTCATGGCGAGAGCATGGCCCGCAGATCCACCACTGTGCTGCAAAGATTTAAGTAAGTAAAGTAGAACTAATTTAAAATAAGAAAAATGTGAGGGGGGAGAGAGAGAGAAAAGAAATAAGTGAAAGACAAATAGAAAACGAAAGATAAAACAAATATCATGTTTTAAGTAAATGAATGAAAAAATCAATAAAAGAAACAGAATTTTTGATGTAACAAAAGTATCTAAATCGTCTGGAGAACAAACTTTATAGACTAAAAAATATTGCTACTGGTTTATTATTTACAAGATACTTCATCTGATTGCAGCAGAAAAATATTAATTAAATCTCCATTTATAAAAATTTTGCTCCATTCTAGAGAAGCATAATGTGCTTAAAATATATCCTATCATCTGTGGGTAGAATAAGATCATTAATAAAACATAAAGTGCAATTATAAAGTTCCGTGATTTGAATCGATAATTTTCAGGCGAACAATGCCTCGCCTGTTTCATGAACAAGTAGCGAAAAACTGCACAAAAATATTTTTTTTCAAATTAACTTTTTCATGTTTTAATTGGATTTTTCTACTGAAGCAACATACGAAGCAACATGGAGTTGTGTCTGAGGTTGATGAATATTTTAAAACAGAACTCGTGCGTCTTTTGTTTCGAATTGCAATTGTTTACATCCTCATCCTGTATGCATTGCTTCCGCATCTCAACAAGAACCGAACAATAGCATCAAAAAGAGATAGCAATTACAACATTGATTAATAAAACAACATTTCCACGTTGACAACAACATGTTGACAAATGTTCAAATAATAGGTAGGTGGGTAGGCAGTTTTGGGTGCATGCATACATTCAATTGGTCCTATTCGTTAAGGTCCTAAATCCGAATGCTTCTCCTACAACTACAGACACTCTTCTGGACATGCATTATTTAACACACATTCTGAACGAGTCTCCTTTATATATGTGGCAATAACAATACATATATACATGCAAATACATACTTATATGTGTGTGTGTGTGTGTGTGTGTATACATACGTATGCGTGTACGTGTATATGTAATGTAAAGAGGTTCATCTGCTTTGCAAGTACGTACGTATGATTGTAATGTAGGCCTTCAGGTTGTTAACTATCATACGCATTGACGTCCCTTCTTTTCATTAAGGCAAACACACGTGTGTGAATTGCAAGGTTACAGTACTGTGCCTATGTGTGTATGTGTGTGTGCATGCTTGTATTTATGTATATATGTGTACACACGTATGTATGCACGTATGTAGAAGTTATTGCAGACTCAATTGTTGTCGAACAAGATGTTATTTTCCTCCTTCGTAGCACGGTGCTGGCTGACGCCTGTCTCATTCAACGCCCTCATGGGCATGGCATAATATTGAATGAAAGCTTTGAAAGAAGGCTGTAATGAAGTTTGAAATAATTTTATCGATTTTCTGCTTGTATTTGTATGTCTATGTGTGTCTATGTATGTTTTGTATATGTGAAGAATGTTTCACTAGTGGTTGAGGTGGGGAGGTGTTATTAACTGATCGCTTGGTGGCTATTCAGGTTTTGTCGTCAGGTAAGCAGTTGATTCGGCAATTCTCACTTTTATTTTTAAAAAATTTCCCTGTTTCCAAAATTGCTTTTCATTTTGCAAATTGATGATTTCCAGTGAGAACGTCATTTTTACAGTAAAGGTAATAAAAAAACAAAAATGCTGAGCTCCTAAGCGTATATGTGAGTTAGTGTGCGTTCTCGTTTGAGTGTGTCAATGCACGTCAGTTTATAATTTGTCTGAGATTCGTGTCTGCCACAAACATACCATTAACTTCTACCAACTTTCATAAGCGTTATTTATTGAAACATGTTTTGTTCATATCAAATGAAGTGCTGTAGAGTAGACAACGGCAGTTATTATGGTGGTCCATGTTTCGTCATCTGATTTGTCTGCGGGTCTGACTCACTGTCTGTCTGTTTGTTTGTCAGTCAGTCTGCTTGTTTGACTGTTTGTTTGTCTGTGTGTTTGTCAATCTGAGCGTGTGTCTGTATGTTTGTGGGTTTATATTCTTTTCTGAATAATCATTTAAATTTTTTATTTTTTGATTTGTCATTCATTGGTTTATTTTATATTATTATTGTGTTCTTTACTGGTACATTGTTGACAATAGAAATTAATGTTCAATACTTCGCAGTTCTCCAATCAGTTTCTGCATAATGAAATCATTCGCAAACCAAAAATCTAACTCATTCAGTCAGTAGATGCACCATTAATTGAAACAAAACTTACCAGAAACATGAACCTGCGTAGCTGAAGAAAATAATGTAAATCTTTATTTAGAGTTCTCAGAAAAGTTTATCTGATAAAATTGTCATGTAATAATTAATTTTTTTTCTAGTTTTAACAAACTTCATATAATTCTCGCATGCAAATGTTCGGAATAAAATATTTAAATAAATCTTGGAAGGGATGAAATTGCTTGAAATAAAAAAATAGTAATTTAAGTTGATTCCATTGAACTACAAAGTGAACTGACCTCATTGGATTAAAAACTTAATTAATTTAACGGCACTTTCAGATAAATTGGTTATAAAACAAATTTGATCATTTTACTTATAAATATTAAATAATAAAAATCAAATAAACAAAATCAAATAAACAAAATCAAATAAACAAAATCAAATAAACAAAATCAAATAAACAAAACACAAATTTGCGTAAAAAAAATTCAAACCCAAATTTTGAGATTTAAAAAAAATATATTTCCATTTAAAACTTCCAAACACGACAGCGAATGATAAACATTCTGGGAACTCTGCTTAATAATGAGGAACGGCTAAGATTAGACAAAAGAAAAACAATGGTGATGATGGAGATGAAGAACAAATGATGGTGGTATGATGAGGGGAGTGCATGGTGACGTGGGCAATGATATTGGTAAATACGTGTTGATACGGATGGCGAGTACGGTAAATACATGTTGATGTGATGATAATACTGATGTGTTGATGGTGAATAATGATGAAGTCATTACCATATAATGGTGATATGATTGTATCCACTGAAAATTTACATGATAATTGTTGTAGCCAATTAATCATCATTAACGTCAGTATTAATTAATCGTAAAAAATAATAAGTATATGAAATAAATTATTAAATAAATGAATAAATTAGTAAATATATGAAATAAATAAATTAACATTGTAATAAGCGTTATGGTTATGAAGGAAATAGTCGCATGTTTTGCCAGAAGTTTCATTGAATACCTCTTCGCGTGTTGAGCACTTCTTCGCACTCACATCATTATTGTCATCGTCATTATAGTTTGTTTATAGCCATCAGAGTAAATTCATCATCTCCTTCTATCATTATTTTGAACGCGTTCATCATCCGTATCGTCATCATCTTTATTATCATTATTACGATCGTCGTTAAGAACATCACCACCACCCCCATCATCGTGATCGTTATCATCATCATTATCGTCGTCGTCATCATCTTCATCATCATCATCATGTTTTGCATTATCATTTCTTAATCATCGTCATCGATACCCACCATTATCGACATTATTTTTATCATTTTATTAATTCGTTTCTTTATTTATTTTAACATAATTGTGATCATCATCATCGTCACACTCATCACCATCATCATTATCATCATCTGCATCAGCGTAGGATTTTTATCATCATCATACTCACAACTTCTATCATCTTTATAAATGTGAACTTTTTTCTTTACAACTTTTTTCAACTTAAATTCCTTCTATGCCATTGTCATTACCATCATCACCATCATCACGTTATCATCGTTATCCTCTTTTATCCTCATCGTCATCTATTTACCATCCTCATCACCATCATAATCATCTTTTCGTCATCATCATCGTTGTCGTCATCATCATCATCATCATCGTCATCATCATCATCATCGTTTTCGTCATCATCATCATCATCATCACACTCTCCATCCGATGACAGCCTTGGTAACATTTACATAAAACTCTTCAAGATATTCTTAAAAAGCTTGATGATAGAGGTGATAATGATGTCGTATTCGCAACTGCCTCATAAGATGCCATGTCTGCTAATTGAATTAACTTAAGCGCCTGCTACAAAACACTTTATACAGTGCTTCTTAAATATTCATATCATTTTTCATTGCTGACATTAAATTACTTAAAAAACATTTTCGAAGCTACTCTTAATAAGTGAAGTAATTTGTAAAGTTGAGTTGAGGCGATGTGAACATGAAATTTCAAATCAGTAACTATTTCGATTCAGTGATATGAATTTCAAATTTCCATTTATTCAAATTTATTATCACCACCATGGCGTGCAACGACACTGAAATCAATCTTTTTTTTTATTTAAAGTCGAAAATGCGTTGAAATGAATAAAAATATATTTTCACTGTAAAAATTGTTTTGCTGAAAATGGAAGTTAGTTCATCAACAACAAAACTAAAACGGGGACTACTCGATCATTATGAATTTTATTTTAGCCATGAATTATTAAGTTCATGCTCAATTTTTATTGCAACTCCATACGCCCATAACGTGCCTGTTGAACCTTCAGAGGCAGGCAGTTGAAACGCTGGGAACTTTTTTTCTTTTCCAAACTAATATACTCTTTGAAAATGTTTTAATGGTTTGTACCGTTCAAAAAAACATCCATCGTACAGATGTGGGGATTATGGAGACCATTACCTTCCAGCTTTCTTGCCCATTCCGCTCGTAAAAATTAAAAACACTCAAAAATATAAATTGCTCCTTTGTGCTCTAAACACTTAAACAGCCTAACGTCTCAATTAACACAAGGAATACAAATTGAGAGAAAGTAACATTCCGATATGAAATGTAATTATTTAGATTAAAAATTAATACGTATTCGGCAACATCTAATCAACAAAAATTTTGTTGAAAAATTTTTTATGAACACTTCAGCAGCTTGCTGTGACGATGGATAAACATCATCATCATCATTTTTAATAATCGTCATTATAAATAATAATAATAATAATAACAACAACAACAACAATAATAATAATAATATTATTAT